AAGAACCTTTCATTTAACTCTGAGCCAGAAATATTCTTCTTGATTGGCATTCCGGACCGTCTCAGGGAAGAAGAACCTGCCTGGCAGGACTTCATTCCTCTTTCCCATGGGGCACATCCCAATGCCCCCATCCTTCCTCCACCATTTCCTGTACCTTAAAGGCCAATGAAGTTTCTCTCAACCACCAGCACCAGCATTCCTGGTTTCTCCAAGCTTCTCCACCACCTCCAGCTTTGCCTATCTCTTGGGGCTTCATTTGGATGCAGCACCACCACCCCCGCTCGTGGATTGGGATGCTCCTCCAAAGGCTGACCGCATCCTCCTGCCCAGTGGCTCCCCCGACCTTTCATCACCTCAGCTCCACACAACCCCACACAACCCCAAAATAACCTTCCAGGAGCAAATTCTCCTCCTTTTTCTCACCTACCCTGGCTGCCCCTCATAAATACCTTGCCCTTCGCCCATTCCCCTCAGACCCATAACTGATGCCATATTCCAGCAACCCCACTCCAACCACCAGTGGAGCTGGGTCCCTTGGCTATGGTGGGGGTGATGTTGAGGGCTGGCGGCACCAGTTTCCTTTTGGCTGGCATGGCAGCAGTGACAGCAATGGTGGAGGCTGGGGCTCGCATTCTGTAGCACCTAGCAAGGGACCTGACTCAGAAGCAGCAGCAGTGGCATCGTCATCATCAGGCTTGGCTGCCCTAAGCAAGGCCGAGGCTGCAAGCGAGGCCTAAACCTTTCAGCCCAGCCCTGAGGTAAAAATGCAAATAGGTGAGAGGAGGAGAGGAAGGGGATGTGGCCAAAGCACAAGTGCGTCCTTGGGTGTGCGAGGGAGAAACTGGGAAAAAAACAACTTCTCCCACCAACTCGCCATCCCACCACTGGCTGGGGCCCTCGCCACTATCCATACACACGCTCCTCATGATTGGATGGCTTGCCCAGGAGGTTGAGGCAGGCCGGATAAAAAGAAAGGTCGGGCCATAATTTGAGGATCCTTGAGCTACAGCTTTGTTGGCTCTGTAGGAAACAAAGGAAGGGGTTTTTTTTGGGGGGAAAAAGGTCAATCAATCAATTCCAACTTTGCGATCTTTCACAAGAAGTTGGAATTGATTGACTTTCTTTGTTTCCTTGCATATGGCAGTGTCAGCAGATTGCGAAGGAGAAATGGCACGGAGCTGGGAGTCAGGTAATGAAAGAAAGGCAATTTCTGGGGGGGGGGCATGAGGATTTCTTTCCTTACTTGCCCCACTTGTTCCGAGGCCACTTTCCACTCAGACACGTTGTTTTTGCCAATGGCCTGACTGCCCACTTTATCACCCTCCCTTCCCGAGCCTTCGGTACTCCACCTGCTGCTTTGGTCCGCCTGCCAGCCCCCACCTGAATGCCCTGCCCACCGCCACCCAGCACAGCCACCCCAGGGCTGCAGGGGCTGGCCTGGCACGAGAAGGGCATGCGCTCCACCCTCCCACCACCATGCAGGGTAAGGTTGCCATGGCTGCCCCCACCCAGATGCCCTCATCTTTCCCAAGCATTTTTTTTTTTACTAACCTGCCTTTCAGCTGCATTCTGTTTCTCCATTCACTTCTCAGCCTTTATGTCATTAAAGTTGTTTTTAATCTCATTATGATTTGAAACCATTGTCATTTGAATCTGTCACAGCAATACATACATTTCCTCCTAGAAAATATTTACCTTGCCTTGAAGTATTGCTCCTGCAGATCTTTGATGTTCCAGGATGGGGCCTTCAGAAGGAGATATTAGATGAGGTTTCCTGACACTTTTTGATAGGTATGCAACATCCATTTTGTCTCCCTCCTCCAGATAGTCTTTCACCAGTACTGTAGTCTCTGTAATTAGCCTTGTCAAACCAGCCAATCTTAAAGTCTAAACAATCAAATCTTATATAGTTTTTATCTTTATATATGGTTTTTATAATCCAATGCATTTCCAACTATCAAAGCACTGTTAAAAGCAGTATTTTATAATAGCTCTTCTATTCAGAGTCTCACAATTATCAGCCAGTCAGATTTAGAATCTAGAATGTTTCACTATCTAGGAGCTTTCCAGTAAATTTCCCCCTAGAAGATTAGCCAAAAGTCAAGGTTTTTATTTCTCTGCAAACAATTCTTGAGCTTAGAAATCACAGCTCAGTAAGTATTTATAATTCCAGATTGTCAGCAGTTTTTAAAACAAATATAGTTCTCACTCTGTAGTAGGTGGCCCAGTGTGTTTTCTTTCCTCTGTACCCAGTTGTTTTCTATTTGGCTAGAAGTCACTGAGGTTCAAAGAAACAAGTTGTTCTTTATTTCTGGGCATCTTGCCAATTTCTGAGTCAATGCAGCTGCTCTTCTATGGTCTAATCCTCCACTAGATGTCAGTAGCCATTCATTTTCCAACTTTAAAATAAAAAAAAATATTTTCTTGTAATTTCATCAATAATCTTTCAAGTGTAAAGTCTTAACAGTTTTCATGATTTTCAGATTTATCCAGACTGTAGTACTATTAAGTTCATTTCAATATATTTCTGTCCCCCATAAAAATTAAGTCACCACTTCTATTTATTGAAGGGTGGGGATGTAGTCTCTTCCCTTCTCACTTTTGGAGGATTTTTTTGCTTCTTGAAGATCTTTTCCAGGAAATCAGTTACAAAATAGAAGAGAAAAGATTGATATTCTCACCCAGTTCCAAGCATACTGTTCATAGTTGTTCTAGTTAGTCTTTTGGATTTTGGCTGCTGGTAGCTTGGGCTAGTCACTGGTGTGCAGCTAGCCTTTCTCCTGTTGGGTTGGAGAGCTTCCCCCAGATCAAACAGATGGACAGCCGTCTTTCCATGATCCACGGGGGCCCCTCCTTCTTCATGGGGTGCAGAGATTCTCAATCCCTTGGCCGTATGCCATGGTGCCAAACCAGCGGAAGTCCTCCATTTCACATTTTCTTGTGCTCATATATTTACTGAAATGGTGCTCCCTTGTTTGCTAGACCACTTTTAAAAATTTCTAGCTGGCATGACTCAAACCTTTTCTGGAAGGTAGCTAAATTAATATTGCTAGGTACCGTACCATTATTTACAACTAAGGATCCATAAAACTGACCTTTTGACTTTAATTTATAATCTAGGATATAAAAAAAACTAAATTGCTTCTCAAATTTTCTCCTCTTTGTACCACTAAATTTGCAAGATAAAGCTGTGAAATGGAACTAGAAATTTCTAATTTTGTATTTCTATTGCAAACGATGTCATGCTTTTTCTACAGAGAGATAGGAAGAAAACACTACCTCAGTTCATTGAAAAATATGAAGTTTGTGGAAACTTAGATCAAAATGAAAAATATGGATCAAATTTTCCAAAAAAACAATAAGAATTTTTCTAAAGAAGCAAATGGTAATATCTAGTTAATCGTGGCTGATCTAAAAAAACAAAAAATGAAGTAAAGACCCATGTTAGACATTAGATGAGAGGTTTTCAGGAAAGTAAGCAGAATTTGGAAATTAATATCTTCTGAACCTCATTTCATAATATTAAATAGTACAGAAGAAATAAATGGATTGCCAAAGAATTTTACTCATCTTTAAGATGGGGAATTAATTGCTTTTAATAAATTGGTGTTATACGCTCAATGTAGTTGTGATTCTACAATTTCATTTGGCACTGGCATCTGGAGAGATATTATCTTCCCTGAGGAAAACAAAAGACTAATGTACAGTACAGTTTATATGCTGTTTTATAAATAAATGCCAAATAAGGATGATGCAGTTTCAGAGAAACAATGTACAGTCAGGATTTAGATTAATTATTCGGACAGATTTAATGATATTGATTAGAAAAGATTTTTTAATATTATTTTGACTTTGGCATTGATGGTGATAGAAGTTGTAAAGCTGCTCACTACACAGAGAAGCTGCTTTTAAAGGTAAGCTATTTCCCCCCCTCGTTTAGAATTGTAAGTAAAAGTGTGATAAACTTTCACAGATCCAACTAGCATAACATAAAAAACCTTAGCAGTGTCTTTGTTCATAGTTCAAGCCAGCTATGCCTTATACTAAAAGCCATTTCAGCTTGGTACAATAAATACCAATTTCTTGGATTTTAAAAAGTCTTTGTATGGTTTATTTTTAATGTTTTTAAATGTGTCTTTCAAATATGGAAAAAAGAGATTAACCTCAGATGAAAAAACTATTTAATCATTTGAAACTGACATTTGGAAAATTGATATAAGCAATGATTAACTTCTGATAACTTTATAATATATGAGCTGAAATAAGTAATTATTTATCCTATTCCATAGTTGTAGTTAATGCAGAAGATAGTCAATACTCGGAATGAAGTTAATAAGTTCTATGCATATCTATCAAAAATTAAATTATACTGAATTCAGCAAGTCTTCTCTCATATAAATATGTAAGTGTGAAGTTGGGTGTTTGATTTTCTATCTTTGATTTATGCCCTATCTTAAGAGTGTAACTATCTATCATCTCTCTCTTTCTCCCCCTCTTTCCACACACACACATATACGCATGCACTCACATACTGTTTTTAAATCCATATAAAAACAGGAAGAAAATGGAGAGAGCATGTTAGTGACTTATTATAGTTGAAATTATGAACATCTACGAAGAAGGCTAAAATTTTACCAATGAAATACTGTATGTCCATGATGATTATTTTAGATGCCATCACCCATTATATGGGCATGCATCTAGGAATTTCCACAAAGAATCTGGAAATGTCTAAGAACAATAGATGATCTTTCTCTTGCTTATTTACATTCATCATCTGGTCTTCAAGTGACTATTTCTTGAGCCTTCCAAAACTGGACAGTAGTTGTGCTTTATAGGTATGGAATTGTTCATGGAAAAATTACTTACACTCACCTTAGCCATGAATCTATTGTTTGACATTTGCTTTACAAATATGTCCCTTGTTCATAAGAAATGGGTAACACTTTGAAAATCTAAAATGAATGTTGCATTTTCTTTACAGGTATGAGTCAGTAAATATGGAAAAAAGGGAACAAAGAAACTTAACAGATATCACGGAATTCCATTTGGTAGGATTTGTAGGACTTGGCAATCTGCAGGTTCCGCTCTTCTGCCTCTTCTTACTTATCTATGTTGCTACCATGGCCGGGAATATCCTCATTATTTTGCTGGTTGTTGCTGACCCTCAACTTCACACCCCCATGTATTACTTCCTGAGTAATCTCTCTTGCCTGGAGATCTGCTACAGTTCCAATATCCTTCCAATGATGCTGACTAATGTCTTGTATGGTGGGCGGAGAACAATTTCTGTCACTGGCTGCATAATGCAACATTATCTTTTTGGTCTTTTTGGATCTTCAGAATGTTGCCTCCTAGCAGCAATGTCCTATGATAGATATGTAGCAATCTGTAAACCACTGCATTACACAATACTAATGAACAGTAGAGTGTGCATCCAACTTATAGCTGGATCATGGATAAATGGTTTACTTGTTATGGACATAGTTTTATATTTAATGTGTCAGTTAAAGTTCTGTGGCCCCAGTGAGATCAATCATTTCTTTTGTGAATTGAATCCAATATTAAAGCTAGCGTGCAGTGATACCCGCTTGATTGAACTTGTCACTATTTTGATATCTGTTATATGTATCTTGCCTCCTTTCTTCTTAACCTTGTTGTCATATAGTTACATTATTTCCACTATAATGAGAATGTCATCTGTGAGTGGGAGGAAAAAGGCTTTCTCAACCTGCTCCTCACACCTCATGGTGGTGTCCATTTTCTATAGCACCTTAATGATTGTCTACATTTTGCCCAAAACAGATGGCCTACGAAACATTAACAAAGTGTTGTCTCTGTTTTATACAGTCCTTACCCCTTTGTTCAATCCCTTGATATACAGTTTACGAAACAGGGAGGTGAAAGAGGCCCACAGGAGAGCAGTTGTTAAATGGTACAAAATTTAAAAAATCCAGTATAATTATTATGAAAATTTTTAAAAAGGTGGTTTGATCTCTAATAAACGAAAACATTGATTCCTTTACATTGGTTCTTTCTCCACTACATATGAGGATTTATCTAAAAATATCTATAAGAGATAAAGAATTCTTCATTAAACTCTATGATTATGATTATGAGTCTGTGATTTTTTTTGCTAAGCTACACTGTTACAAATTTCTTGGTGGGCTCCTTTGTGGAAGTTGCAAGTGTGAATCCACAGCCTCTATTTGGTATGGTAACAAACTGGCCAGTCAATTTCTTTAGCAGCCAATGGATCATCATTTTGTTGACCCCCCCAACCCCCCCCAACCCCAACCCCCCAAAAACAGACTCTTCACCTGTGTGAAAAATGATAGCAAGAAAAAAAAATGCTACCTTTCTTCTCGCTCTACAGGATTAAAATTCTTTGTTTTAATGCAGCAATGTCTACTCAAGTCTGATGGGATTAGGTATAGGAGGAAAGATAGCGGACTTTGTTTCTGAGATCCTGGGAAGGAGACCCTGGAGAGCTAGAGTTGCACTTTGCACCAAAGTAATTGAAGGGAATGAATCTGGATCCCAGTTTAAGGATAATATGCCCCAAATGTACAGGAGAAGAAGAACCTATCTTCTTGTGGCTTGGCAGATACATATTTCTCTCTAATATTTTTTTCAGCAGCAAAACTTTGCATTTAATATAGCAATGATATCATTATGTTATTTTTGGTTTCAGATGTTTAGGATAATATGCATGTAAAGCTTAGCACAAGCTTAGCACATTTGTTTTATTTTTCAAATTCAGCTACTCAGGCATTATTTTGATGCTTTCTTGTACTCTTGAGAAATATTTTTAATATTTTTTGCTGCAGTTTAAGGGTAGTGACAGTGTGTGGAGAGAAGCTGTGTTTTTCTGGCACTTTTCATATTCTCCTGGGCCTACTCACCTAGAGATTTTTCTTCTTCCTCTAGGATAAACCCAGTTAATTTGCACAGTAGGGACTATGTGCTCTTTAATATAAAATAAATCCATAGGATGATGTCTTTTTTACATTTCATAAATTCATTTAGACTTTGCTTCAATTGCTCCTTTCATTTACACCAATCCTGAATGAAATCTAGAAATCAAGGTAAGATTCTTTTAGAAATGTTGAAGATGAGCGAAGCTCAAAAGTTGCTCACTGAATGTCTGGTGTGTATAAAGTGAATTCCAACAACAACATTGTTGTTCCTGTCAATGATTTTGCTGGCCATACTTCTCACAATAATCCGTTGATGAAGATGTTGAAGAGCACTGGGCCCAGAACAGAGCCCTGGGGCACCCCACTACACACTTCCCTCCATGTAGATGTGGCTCCATTGAGACCACACGCTGAGTACGGCCGGTCAGCCAGCTACGGATCCATCTGGTGGTGATGCTGTCTAACCCGCATTTTTCTATCTTATCAAGTAGTAAGTTGTGATCTACTTTGTCAAATGCCTTACTGAAGTCCAAGTAAATTATATCCACAGCATTCCTCTGGTCCACTAATTTTGTCACTTGGTCAAAGAATGCAATAAGATTTGTCTGGCATGATCTGTTTTTGACATACAGTCCTTATTTTAATTTGTTTCTCCCACCAAATTCTAGGTATTCTTACTAACTAAGATTTTCTCAAAAAATAATTACATTTTAAAATTTAACTCTATTTTTTTCCATATGAACCATCTCATACTTTTCCATTTCTTAAGGAATAGATAAAACATTGAAAAAAAAGATAGGAGAGCAAGAGTAAAGAAACATAAAAAATAACATATTACTTAAAATATATATCCCTTCTAAGCTAATATATATTTGTTTCCAAAATTTCTTATTCTTTTTAACCATAATTAAATATATGTTTAATCTTTAAATATTCCATTTAATACATCTAGTCATCTAGTCCTTTAACTCTTATTCAAAACATTTTTATCCATTATAATTTTCTTAAATTCAATCACATTTAAATATCTAAAACATTTCCTTTATTTAAATCATTTCAACTTTTTTATATTACTCATATCAAGAAAGAGAATAAAAAAGGGAAAAAAACATACTATATTATTTAGGAAATTCATCCCTCTTAGAATGACATATATTCCAAATTTTTTCTATTTCTTTAATCATATTCAAACAAATGTTTCTTTTTAAAGTATTCTCTCTGGTAAGTCCCATCGTCTATTTTCTTAGTTTCCACTTTAGTCTTTTTCCTTTGCCCAGTATCTTTCTTAATCAATGTATTTTGCTGAATCAAAATATTTTTTCTGTATGTTCGTAAATGTTACTGTAGATATAAAAAGTAAATCAGGTGAAGTGTCTTTGTACGGGGCTTCTGCCTTTCCATGTTTGTTGAAAATCTTTTTCTTTTTCGTTCTTTCTGCTTCTCTTATCATTTCCTTTCTCTCCAGTGTTCCTGACATCTCTAAAGTCCATTTAATCCAATCTGTTTTCTTGTTCTCAGATTTATTTTGTAGTCTTAAGGGATAAGTTGCTTTTTCCAATTCTTGAATTTTTCCCCACTAGGATTAAATCATGTTTCCTTGTTTTGTTAAGTTCCATCTTTAAGTCTCTATTCTCAATTCTATATCCATTTATCTGTTTTATCTGCTCCTTTTCTATTGTGGTTTTCGGGAATTTTTTTATTGTAATGTTTACTTGGATATAGATTGATTTATATTTTCAAAGTTATTTTGTATTTCTTTGTGGTTTAAAGTAATTGTTGTTTGAATTAGTTGCAGTATACTATATATCTCCTCCTGTGAAGAATTTATGTTTTCTTAATATGTTTTTTCTACATGTCTCTGATCCATGATGGCCAAGAATTTGAGTTTTTCTTTTCCTTTCTTTTCTCTGCAAATAGTTTTAGAGCCCAATTAAATAGATATTTGTAATCCAAATAGTTCAAAAAAGATTTTTTTCTGAAATTTATAATTCTCTCTTTGTCTAGAGCCCAGATTATTTTCTTTTTTGTCACAGTTGTTCTTTGTTGTTAAAGATTTGAAGGTGACAAACACAGATTAGCTTTTCCCAGGTTTTGCCAAGTCTTATATTAAACTCATAGCTGTCATAATCTTCATCCACCACTAGGTGTCAGCAACTATTTGTTTTTCAATTTCCAAAATGATCTTTAGAATGAGAGTCTTAACCATTCAAACAATTTTAGATCTATCCAGATTTAAGTTTTAAATTTCAGGTTTTATATTCATTTCAGTTCCATATATTTTGACCCTCCGTAAAAAGATTAATTCACCGCTTCTGTTAGTATAAGGGTGGGGCAAAAATCCCCCCCTTCCCTTTCAGAGGTATTTTGCTTCTTGGGGATCTTTTCCAGGAAATTAAATATAGAACAGAAAAGAGAAGATCGAATTCCTCACCCAGTTTCAAGCACAACTAACCAGTTGTGCTGGTTAGTACTTTTGGACTTTGGTTGGTAGTAGCTTGGGCTGGTCAATGCAATACAGCCAGCCTTTCTCCTGTCGGGTTAGAAGGCTTTCCCCAAGTTGAATGGAATGGCCGCCACCGTTCCAGAATCGCTGGAGCACCCTTCTTTTTTTGCTGCCTCTCCGGGATGACTTAGACCAATTTAGGGCCCCCTGTCAGGGTGAAATTAGCAATGGGGGTGCAGAGAATCCTCAAGCCCGCGACTGGTCACTACCATGCAAAACCGAAAGTCAATTATCATATTGGATAATCCCACAACAGGATGTATATTTGCAGAATATGATTGGGATGAACAGACTGCACAAAAATTCCAAATGGGACTGGACATTTTCTGAAGAAGTAAATATTCCATTGCTTAGCTATATGATAGCTCCTAATCACTCTTGGCTGATTTGAATAAATAAAGTAGGGATACATCTTCAGATGGGAAATTCTCTAAACTAAGTAAGTGTTGGGAACAAAACATCAGCTAAGAAAAAAAGAAGAGTAAGGAATTTACTTTGAATCTCATTTTCTAATTTTTGTTAGTAGAGGAAATGAATAAATTATGAAAGATTTTTGTTCATTTTTAGAATGAATATTAGTTAATTGAATGGTGAAATAAACACTATGTTTCTACTTGACTGAATTTCTCTTCAGTGACATTTTCCAGAAATAAACAAAAGCCAAAAGCCAACAAAGATGTTTTCTAAATACAACATCTGATCTTTCTCTGGTCTTGTTATGTTCATTGATATGTTCTCAAATGACTTTTTCCTCATGCCCTCCAAAGTTGTGCTATTGTAGCTTGTAAGTATGAAATTATTAAAATAAAAAACACTTTCATGCACTACTACGTATCTCATGCTTATGTACTGCTTTATAACTGTGTTCCTTAGTTCTAAGTTAAAAGCTAAGAAGTGCAAAAATAAATTCTGAACAATTTAAATGAATTTTGTATCATATTTGCAGGCATGGTAGTGACAAAACAAGACAACCAAACAGAAATCACAGAATTTCATTTAATAGGATTTGTAGGACTTGGAGATCTGCAAGTTCCAGTCTTCTGCCTCTTCTTACTTATCTACCTTGTTACTGTGGTTGGGAATATCCTCATCATTTTGTTAGTTGTTACTGATCCCCAACTTCACACCCCCATGTATTTCTTCCTGGGTAATCTCTCTTGCCTGGAGATCTGTTATAGTTCTAACATCCTTCCAATGATACTGGCTAACGTCTTATATGGTGGGCGGAGAACAGTATCTGTAATTGGCTGCATATTGCAACATTGTCTTTTTGGTCTTTTGGCAGCTTCTGAATGTTGTCTCCTAGTGACAATGTCCTACGATAGGTATGTAGCAATCTGTAAACCATTGCATTACACAATGCTAATGAACAATAGAGTTTGCTTCCAGCTTATAGCTGGATCGTGGATTCATAGTTTATTTATCATGAGCATAATTTTATATTTAATGTGTCAGTTAAAGTTCTGTGGCCCTAGTGAAATCAATCATTTCTTTTGTGAATTACATCCAATATTAAAGATAGCGT